AGCAGGAGAGCTTCTTGCAAGCCTTTTTTCCTAGGTAGGAGCCAAAATGCTGGAAGCAGCTGTGTTTGGAGCTTACTTCAATGTCATGATCAACCTCAAAGACATAACGGACGAGAAGTTCAAGCTTGCGGTAAGCAGGGGCCATGCGTGTGCCCCGACCTTGGTGGTGGGGTTGAGGTGGGACAGAGATGGAGATGAAGCCCCTGGGACCCCTTATGCCCAGGTACCCCCTCCCCTTGCCACCAATGGGACGCGTGGGCTGGATGGTGGATGGCTTTTCTGTCCTGTCAAGTGGCAAATGATGTACCTTCTCCCTCAACATACAGATGTCACAGAAGGTCTCCGGGCTGCTGGAGGAGGCGAAGCAAGGCTCAGCGCTTGTGCTGGCACTGCTGGAGAAGCGGGCGCTCTGAGAGGGGATTGGGGATGGACTGGGGGCTCTGCAGCAGCAAATACAGTTGGGAAACATGCTTGCCCCTGCCTGGGATCCTTTGGTATCCACCTCGGGAGAGCTGCTCCACTCAGGCATATCCCCTGCTGGGCTTTCCCTGGCCAAGGGTGATATTTGCTGTCTGAGGCTCGGACCACGGTTTTCGTCACCTCATCCCTGGGACAGAAGGAGCCAGCTGGGCTGGCAGAGCCTGGGGCCACAGGGCTCCCAACAGAGGGGACAGCAAGGGACCGTGTGCTGCTGCCCAGGAGGAGATCACTGTCTGTGGGCGCCTTCTGACCCCACGCACCTCTGTGTGTGTCTGTGCCCAGAAACCCCCACAAGACACCCCCATGTCTGCAGGGCTGGGACAAGACCTGGCACAGTCCCTTTCTGCGAGGTGTCTTTTTGATGGTACATCACCAGCCTGTTGCATTGCTCCCTGGACCAGGAAGGGAGCGCTGCAGAGCAGCATCGGGGGTGTTAGTGGGGAGGTGGGGATGGGATGGGAAGAGCTCTGCCCCCTCCTCACAGACCCCCCTGAGAGGAAGACCTGAACACTGGGGCATGCAACCCTGCCTTCTGTCTCTGTTGACTGGGTCTGATGGCAGATATCACCTCCTCCACTCGCACACCATGGCAGCAGCCTGAGCAGTGTCACATTAGCTGGACCCTAAGCTCCATTGTCTCCCACCAGGGCCTCGTTGACACCCCCCACCCACCCTCTCCATCCCCGTGCTGGCCCCCGTCCCTGGACTCTGTGTCCATGCTGGGAGCACCGAGCCAGGGTTCATGGTGGGGATGCCTGACTCACTCTATCACCTGACACTGCGAGGTGAAACCACCACCCTCCATTCCTTGTTATTATCAGCCCTCTGGGACCTTTGAGCCGGCTGGGAGTGGTGTGTTGACTTTTCCTGTGTGCCCATGGTGACGGCCGCTGTGCAAGGAGTGCCTCTGTGTCACCCCTGCCCACTGCACCCATCCTTGCTTGGGTAGGGCCCACGTATTTAGTGGGTGCCTGCCACCCCAAGAGAGCTGTGCTGAGGACAGTGATCAGGAGTGCTGCTGCTGCTGGTGCTGGTGCTGCCAGCATTGCCTCTGCTGGGAGCTTTTCTGCAGGTTTGGTGAGTGAGAGGCTCCCTTGGGTAGCCACGCCTGGTGGGGTGCAGGGGAGCCAGGGAGCCTGGGCACAGTGGGAGAGTGGGAACCTGTGGGTCAGGGTGCACCCTCCCCATGGCTGGTGCCACAGTGAGGAAAGCCTTATGAGGAAAGGCTGAGAGAGCTGGGACTCTTTAGCCTGGAGAAGAGAAGGCTGAGGGGAGACCTTATTATGGCATACAAGTATCTAAAGGATGAGTTGAAGGATGGAGCCAGACTCTTTTCAGTGGTTCCCAGTGACAGGACAAGGGGCAATGGGCCCAAGCTGGAACATAGGAAGTTCTGTTCAAATACACGGAAAAACTTCTTTACGGTTAGGGTGACAGAGCACTGGAACAGGCTGCCCAGAGAGGTTGTGGAGTTCCCTTCTCTGGAGATTTTCAAGACCCGCCTGGATGTAGTCCTGAGTAATGTGCTCTAGGCAATTCTGCTTTAGCAGGGGAGTTGGACTAGATGATTTCTAGAGGTCCCTTCCAACTCTGAAGATTCTGTGTGATTCTGTGATTCTGTGAGACATGGTGTCCCCAGCCCCTCATGGTCCACAAGGGCATGGGCTGGGCACCCAAACTCAGCTGGAGTTGGTTTATTATTTCCGTCAACAGTGGAAACCACATGCCTGGGCTTTGGGTGTGCACAGAGGTGGGGACAGAAAGTGAGGGTCAGCACTGTCACTTGAAGAGATGGGGTAGCTGTTGGGGTCTGCGGAGGGACAGCACTCCTTGGGAAGTGAGCGTGGTCTCTGTCCAAGGCAGACACGTGGGACAGAGGAGCCGGCTCTCAGCTGCTGGCAAGGCAATGACCTCCCTGTGACAGCAGGAGGACACTGACGGTGCCTGTCCTTCCCTTGCAGCTTGGGGATCACGGAGGATGTGGAACCCTAACCCAGGTGAGGGACCGTGCGGCCGGGCAGGGTTTCACGTAACACACAGCCATCGGGTCTCAGAGAGGGGCTCACTGCAATTGCCACAGTGAACCTGGGGGATTACCTGAGTACCAAAGGGGAGTGAGACATCATTTGTGAGGAGGAGGGTACACTGGGAGGAGTCCCTGGGGTGCATGGGCACACCAGTTCCCTGCATTGCCTGGCCGGGGAGAGCCCTGCTCTGCTTGCTAACAGCCACCCTCTTCTTCCTAGGCGTGCCCGGAGGGGTTCCACCACCACAAGTGCAAATTTGCCCACCTGCTCCTCCGGGATACCCTGTTCCCGGCAACCCAGCAGGCCCCTACCCCGGCTACCCTCCAGTGCCGCCTGGTGCCCCTGGAGCCTATCCCCAAGCACCCCCGGGTGGCTATCCCTGTGGCCCCCCTCCACCTGGCCCCTACCCACCGGGGCAGCACCCCCATGGACACCACCCACAGGGGAATCATCCCCATGGGCATCCCCATCCAGGACCACCAGGAATGC